ATCCTTTGTTTAAAGGGGCTTTGTGTGGTTGTCTGGGTGATAAATGACCTGCCTAGTTTATACATACCCTGTTAAGTTCAATAAAGCGTGTGTTCATTCGCTTGATTTTGTGTGCTCTGTGTGCGGATTCTTAGTGCGGTTGTTACACCTCGGGTCCAGGTCCCCATAGAAGGACCCCCATAATAGCAATCTTTAGTTTTTCTTTTTGTTTCTTTTTCAAGCTGCTGTTAATTCATAAGGAAAGTTTCATTTTAGCTTCTGTATTTTTATATTATTATTGATTACTTTTCATCAGAAAGGCACATTTACAGTGAGAAGGAGAGACAGAAAGATCTTCTGGTTCCCTCCCCAGATGGCTGCAACAGCTGATCTGAAGCCAGGACCCTTCTCTGGATCACAGGTTACAGGGTCCCAAGGCTTTAGGCCATCCTCTGCTGCTTTTCCAGGCCAGAAGCAGTGAGCTGGATGAGAAGTAGAGTAGCCAGGACAGGAGCCAGCACCCATATGGGGTTGCCAACACTTGGAGGTGGAGGATTAACCAATTGGGCCAACGCACTGGCCCCAGTTTCTGTATATTATAGCTCTTGAATTTCAGTTGTGCTTTTTTTCTAGTATACTTCCCTGCTAAAGATCTTGATCTGTGGCACATTATACAAGTATGTGTTTATTTGAGAAGCATGGAGACAGAGAGGAACTTCCATTCCCTGGTTCACTCCCCGAGCGCCTATAAAGGCCTGAGATGGGCTGAACCAAAACTGAGAGCCAAGAATTCAGTCTGGGTTCCTAACACTGTGTGGGTTATCACTGCTGTCTCCCAGGGTCCCTATTAGCAGGAAACTGGAGCCAGGTGTTATCCTAGAATTCCAGTGTAGGAACCCAGGCATCTTAACCATGTCTGGGCTACTAGGCTAAATACCCCACTCTAGCATGTTAAATTTATATATTGTTTGTAGTACTTGAAAATTAGAGCTTAACCATTATCTGCTATGTATAACATCTGGTTTTAACTTGGCTTATTAAAAATAATTTTTTTCCCTTCTTGAGTTATAGGTCACCTCTTTTGGATGCTTTTATATACACACATACACATACATACATTTATTTATTTGAAAAGCAGCGTGTGTATGTGAGAGAGAGAGGGAGAAAGAGACAGAGAAATCTTCTACTTGCCTCTTCTCTCCCCAGACGTTAATGGTCTTAATGCCCAAGGCTGGGCCAGGCCAGATCCAAAAGCCTGGAACTCCACCTGAATATTCTGTATCAGTGGCAGGGGTCCAAGTGCTTGACCACCCTCTGCTGTCTTCCAAACATGAGCAGGGTTAGGGTTAGGTGGAAAATGGATGCAGCAGCAGCAACTCCAATATAGAGTGCTGGCATTCCAGTGTTAGCTAAGCTCACCACACTAGCATGTCCCTCCATGTCTTTACATTTGTACTAATTGGGAATTTTCTCTTGAGTGCTATAAATTTCATGTTGCAGAGGTTGTGAATAGGATTCTGTGGCTTCTTGACTGGCACTGTGGTATAACAGGCAAGCCTCCACCTGTGGCATCAGTCCCCTATATATGACATTGGTTGAAGTCCCAGCTGCTCTACTTTTGATCCAGCTCCTTGGACCTGGAAAGGCAGTGAAGGATGGCCCAAGTCCCTGGGCCCCTGAACTTACGTGGAAGACCTAGAAAAAACCCCCAGGCTTCTGGCCTCAGATTGGCTCCGTTCAGCTCCAGCTTTTGCAGCCATTTGGGGAGGGAACCAGCAGATGGAAGAGTTGTGTTTCTCCTTTTCTCTCTGACTTTGCCTTTCAAATAAAATAAGTAGGTTTTTAATACATGATTAAATTTATATAATATAAAACATGTGATTTATTTTTCTATATGATATAGAAAAGGTTTATATAATATAAAATATAGTTTTATGTATTTTTTGATATATATACACACATACACACACAGTCTTCCATTGGAGTTACACAAAATAAAAGTAGGCAGTTTGGGCCTGTGTGCCACATTTAGCCGACTTCCTCTCTTTACATGGCCCTTGATCTCCATCACTAGTTTATTAGTTAGAACTAATTACTCTGCTACCTATTACAAGTTTATATCAGCAAAACTGCAGTCCTTTTCAGCAGTACCAAATCAGAATAACAAGAATAAGGGTTGAGGATAAAGGAAAGAAAAAGCTGTTTTAGTCTAACAATAGAAGAGAAAACAGCCAACTTTCCTCCTGAGGGCAGCTCTGCTTTTCAAGGAACCTGGAGGGTAGCTAGGGATGGAGATCAGGACTAAACAGCCAGTCTCCAAAATTACCTGCAAGTCCATTAACAGGATATTTTTTGTTGTTGCTGCTTGCTGATTTTGTTCTTGTTTTAAACATTTATTCTTTTTATTGGAAAGTTAGATACACAGAGAGGAGAGACAGAGGAAGATCTTTTGTCTGCTAATTCACTCCCCAAGTGACTGTAGCAGCTAGAGTTGAGCCAGGAGCTTTTTAATTTTTATTTGAAAGCTTTACAGATGAGAGATGAAGAGAAAGCTGTTATATCTACTGGTTTACTCCCTAAATGGCTGCAGTGGCCAGAGTTGAATCAGTCCATAGCCAGGGCCATTGTTTGTTGCTTTCCCAGTCCACAAGCAGAGAGCTATATCCAAAAGTAGAGCAGCCAGACATGAACTTGTGTGTGTTTGGAGGTCTAGGGGCGTGGGGTGCTTTGGCTTTCAAGTGGAGGATTGGCTAGTTGAACCACTATGCCAATGCCAACTGGAATTTTATTTTTAATCTTGACCAGCATTGCAGTTGAAAATCCTGTTGAAGGAGAATTGATGGCTTGTTCTTAACATGGGTGGGGCATAATAGGATGTTCTGCATAGGTGAGTAGCTACAGAATATTTGGCTGGAATCTGTATTGTGTTAAAAGGTTCTAGTAGTTCGGTTAACTATAAGAATGTCTGGTTAATAAGGTCTGACATGCCTTCAGTCACCTCCACACATTTCATAGCTCATTGCACCTTGTTTACATTTGGAGACCTCGAAGTTTATGCTGAAGTGCATTAATTTCTTATGACAATTAAAGCATTTAAGAGTGTCTTCATACTCAAAATTTAGTTTACTACTATTAAATGATCCATTGAAATAGCTAAGAAATGAGCCACAAAGAACAGAGTTCAGCATGAGCTTCCATTTGTTTTCTGTGCACTCCTGTTACTGCCCGTGTCTGCCAGCAGTGACTGATGACACCCCTCTGGACACTGACGTCAGAATTTTGTCTCATCCTGTGTTTGGGTTTTCCATCTGAGTTTGGTCACATAGACACGGTGATCACATATAGCTGTCTTTAGTCTCTTGCACCTCCAAGGGTTGAGCTGATAGTGCCTAACTCAAGGACCCCAGCAGAAGTCACACTATGCATAGATTATCCATGGTATCCCAAGCCTTAAAGTGAATGAAGGTACTTCTGGCAGCTGAGACATTCCAAAAATTAAGAGATTACACCCCAGAGATGCACAAAGCTTATGATCGGTAGGATTACACTGGGTCTCTGGTTTATAGTTTTCATTGGCTATACAAAGTTTTTAGCTTTTGTAGGTTTTTTGAACCCACTTCTCACTGAAGTCTACATTTACATGTGTGTCATGTCTCTTGATACCCCCCCCCCCCACAGCTCATAGGCTCTCATTTGCTTTCAGTTGAGATCCTGTGTTAAAGTCTTACCCTCAGCTAGATGAGAATAGATGAAATCTCATTTGCTTCATCACTTAAAACTTAAAAGCCCGAGTGTTTATGTGTATATACAGAGCGAGATCTGTTCACTGGTTCATGTTCCAAATGTCTTCAACAATAGGGTAGGCCAGCAAAAACTAGGAGCCCAGAACTCTGTCCAGGTCCCTGTGTGGGTGGCAGGTATCCAAGCATGGCAGCCATCGTCTGTTGCCTCCCAGGATGCATTGGTAAGAATCTGGACTGAGGCAGCAGAGCTGGGACTTGAATTGACTTCTTGATTTGGGATGTGAACATCCCAACAAGCAGCAGCTAGCCAGCTGCACCACAGTGGCTGCCCTACTTTGTGTCACTTCTTGACTTTGGATTTAACTTCCTGTCCCACAAATCTTCTAAACTGGCAAACAGCTATGTGTTAAGACCCTCAAATTGCCAACATTGTCATTCCATCTCCATGTGATGTCCAAAAGCTTGGCTAGATTTTCAGTCTGTGCTGTCTCTCAGGGAAAGTTTGGAAGCAATGAGCCCTTTTTAGGAAACTATTTCCAGTCAGTTAGGTAACCATTTTTGGTGCTTTGCAAAAAAGTAAAAGGAAAAAAAAATGGTAAGGATGGGTACAACAAGGAGTATATTTGGAGGTTAGAGCTGCTTAAATGATCAGGTTTGACTATTTCACACAGATTATGTTAAACTTTTTGACCTATCAAATGTATTAGGTAAAACAACCTATTGCATCGTTGTTGTAATTTTGAGTTTGTTTATATTTTTTTCAATAGCAGGGAATGAGCTGTAATCTTTTTACTTATTTTTCCCCCCATGGAGATGCTGATTGTTGCCTTATGCTTTGTTTTTTAATTAATTATTTATTTATTTATTTATTTAGGAGGCAGACTTACAGTGAGGCCTTGTACCGGCTGGCTTATTCCGCAGGTGGCACGAACAGCTGGAGTTGGGCTGGTCTGGAGCCTCAAACTTCCAAGTCTCTGTGGCTGAGGGGCTGTTCTCTCAAGATTTTATTGCTTTTCCCTTTTAGACAAGTCTACAGGATAGACCGGATTCTCTTTAAAACCAGGATTTTGTCATGAAATATGGATAGTTGTAGATATATAAATGGGAACTTTGTTATACTGTTTTGAGAACGTAAAAGGGAATGTAAAGGCAAGATACTTTGACTATGTCTCACCATTTAGGGCACAAAGTAAGCTTCATCTTATGTGAGACAAGTAGAAGGAATTCGCAATCTTGCTTTGTGGCCCAGAGCTGATGCCCTTGAAAATGCCATTGCAGGTCTTGGTGTCGTTTGAGGATGTGCTTGTGGGCTTCACGCAGGAGGAGTGGCAGTGCCTGAACAGCGTGCAGAGGACCCTGTACAGGGATGTGATGCTGGAGACCTACAGCAGCCTGCTCTCCTTGGGTGAGAGAAGCGCTCGGGATCTCTCAAGGGGAATGCTTCTTTGTGATATATACACAGACTTTGTGTAAGGGTTGATGTTCAGGTGTGAGATTCCATTCTATGGGGAATGTGTCAGTGCTGCAGAAAAATATCCAAGCTGGCCTTTTCATTCTACAGTTCTTGAAGCCACAGTTGTTCTTCACAAGACCTAACTTAGCAGTTTGGCAAAATTCTACATTATTTCCCATTCACAGGGTTCTGCATTACCAAACCTGAGGTTATTTTCAAGTTGGAGCAAGGAATAGAACCATGGACAGTAGAAGAAGCCTTAAACTGGAGCGTCTCAGGTCAGTCAGAGCACCCAAGGAGGGAAGGGATAGCTCCTCAGGAAAACCTTACTGGGCTGTCTTCACCAGTCCTCCAAAGGACAGCTCGTGAGTTATATGGCCTATAAGGAAGCTTGTTGGTGTGTCTGTTCATCTTCTTGGGCTTGGTTTGACTTGGTTTTATGTTGAATACAACTTCTTCTTTTTTTTTTAACCAAAATCAAACTCCTGGCTGCCTGCTCTTAAAGTTTTTTTCTTGCTTATGTATAGTCTATAAATTCTTTTTCTCCATTTTTATACTCTGTTTTTCCCCATATATTTATTAATATATTAATCTCTTCAGTGCTTGTTAATTGAGCATCTAATAGGCACTGGTCTTTTTATACTCACAGATATAATAAAACAAATGTGTTACCCTTTTTTTGTTGTTGTTAAAGATTTATTTACTTATTGGAATGTCAGATATACAGAGAGGAGGAGAGGCAGAGAGGAAGATCTTCCATCCAATGATTCACTCTCCAAGTGAGTGTAACGGCCGATGCTATGCCGATCCGAGGCCAGGATCCAGGAACTTCTTCCGGGTCTCCCACATGGGTGCAGGGTCCCAAGGCTTTGGGCCGTCTTTGACTGCTTTCCCAGGCCACAAGCAGGGAGCTGGATGGAAAGTGGAGCAGCTGGGATTAGAACTAACGACCATATGGGGTCCCGGCACATTCAAGGCGAGGACTTTAGTTGCTAGGCCACGCTGCCGAGCCTGACAAATGTGTTACCTTTTAAAAGGTTTTCAGTCTCTTCGATTGAAAAACACACATGAGATAGTGAAGTATGAACGATAGGGTTTAGATGAGAAAATGGAAAATGTGTTCTTATAAGAAGGGAAACCAGCTTTAGAAAGATCTTTTTACTTTGGGCTAGCTTAATTTTGAGACAACTGGGCCCGCCACGGTAGCCTAGTGGTTAAAGTCCTCACCTTGCACACGCTGGGATCCCATATGGTCTCCAGTTCTATTCCTGGCGGCCCCACTTTCCATCAGGCTCCCTGCTTGTGACCTGGGAAAGCAGTCCAGGACGGCCCAAAGCTTTGGGACCCTGCACCTGCGTGGGAGACCCAGAAGAGCTCCTGGCTCCTGGCTTCAGATTGGCTCAGCTCCAACCATTGCGGTCTCTTAGGGAGTGAACCATCAGATGGAAGATCCTCCTTTCTGTCTCCTCCTCTCTGTATATCTGCCTTTCCAATAAGAATAAATAAATCTTAAGAAAAGTGTTTTCTTGAGACAACAGTTTTCCAAAACTTGCTGAGTGATCTCCTAGAAAGTTTTTAGGAGGAGGAAAGACTTTAAGGACCAAACCTCCTCTATGATGATCTCAGTAGTCATGAAGCTTAGCAAGACATCCAGCATAACAGTGTGGAAAGCGATGGCCATAGGTTTGGGAAAGGACCAGGAGATGATGAGAGCTGAGGCCACGTGAACCAATAATTTCATGTTGAAGGGCTCAGGTATGTTTTGAAGTGAAATTGAGTTGACATTCTCCTGTTTTCCTTATCAGAGTCGTTCTAGAACAAACCACATAAAAAATGTACATACCACTTGATCTTTCATGAAACTTACAGAGGAGATGACTGAATTCAACATGGAAAACAAAACAGAGTTCTTCAGAAACAGTAAAGGGTCAAGCAGAAGTGTGTGCACCAGGAAATGTGGGGCAAATGCCAGGCTGTTGATCTTAGAAGCGAGGAAAATGTTTTTCTATAATGGAGTACACATACAAGTCTCGGTTATAGAGCCAAATCCTTGAGATCAACAGGAAGAAAAATTGTTCATGGTAGACTGTAAAGTTATTTTTTATTTTATTTTTAACTTTTATTTGCACAGACAGATAGGTATTCCATCTGCTGATTTACTCCTCAGTTGTCTGCAGAAGCCAGAGCTGGACCAGGTCGACGTCTAGAGCCAGAGACCCAAGTCCTTTCGCCATCACTTGCTGTCTCCTGTGTGCATTGTAGCAGGAAGGTGGACACTAGGCAATTCAGTGAGGGATTCAGGGGTCCCGAGTGGCTTCTTCACTGCTGAGCCAGTTACCCACCCTACCCTGTTAAGTTTGAAAGAATCAAAATGTGTCTACAATTTATTTAGCAATGTGTGAGAAGTGTCTTCAGGTGGTGTGGGAAAGAAAAGGTTATGTTAGAAATGCCTCATAGGTTCTTATGGCCATTGTCCTAGAAAGAGTAAAAATCATACAAACACAGGTGCCAATCCAATTCCTAAACCGTGCTGCTGCTTGTGGGACAAATGTCTCTCTCCTTACCTGTAAATCGCTCATCTGTGAACACTTAGCTATCCTCAAAACTGAAATTTTGGGTCAGTTTTTCATCACTCTAGGTTAAACTAATATTTTCAATGCCAGCATTCCAAATCAGAGCTCCAGTTTGAGTCCTGGCTACTGTACTTCAAATCAGTTCCCTGCTGATGTTCCTGGGTAAGCAGCAAAAGACTGCTGAATTACTTACCTCCCATGTGAGATGCTTGGATTGAGTTCCAGGCTTAGCCCCAGCCATTGTAGGCATGTGGATAATGAACTAGCACATAGAAGATCTTTCCTCACAGTCTCTGTCACTCCCTCCACCTTTCGAATAAATAAATCTTATTTTAAAAGGCTGAAAGGTCAGCAGAGAAACACAAATGCAATTATAACAGAAAACTAGATAACAAAGAATAGATGAATAGCTTTCAATGCTACAACAAGCAGTAGGCCAGTGTTTGACCAGAGAGAAACCATGTATTTATCATATCATAAATAAATAATTTTATTGACATTTCAAGATTTTTATGCAGAATAGAAACTGTCTTACTTTTGCATATACATTCCAGAAAAAAAATGTTTATGTATGGTTAATAATTTTTTTTTCCTCCCACTTCAGTTGCCAAGAAAATTGATGTAATTAAAGCCAGCAAGAAAAATCAAGATGGACATTTGAGGCAAGTTGTAACCACAGACAACATCTCATCAATTAAGGATAGAGTTGAATTAAGAAAAACCCTGAATTTAAGGCCAAATCATGTTGTAAAGAACAGAAGTTATCCAGGAATGATGCCTGAGGCATTTAATGTATATCAGAAGGGACTTCTCCCTAATGATCCTATAGAGGTGAGTGGTGCCCAGAGTTTAATAGCTAGGAAATCCCTCCAACATCTGGAGCACCAAAGTCAGTGTAACCAGATTCAGGCATTGCAGTGGGATTTTGGATGCAGTGGACAAGACGAAGCCTGCAAGAGGGTTCATGTGAAAGAGACTTCCTGTAGAAATAATCAACATGTGACAGCCTGCGATAAGTCAGTTCTCATTGCTGATGAGACAGCTCTAATAGGAAAACAAACTCTATGTAAAAAAGTTAACCTCTGTAAATGTCAGCTAACACATGAAAGAAAGAGCCCATATGAATGTGAATGTGGGAAAACATTTATGTATAAGTCATATTTCATTCGGCATCAGAAATCTCATGCAGGCAAGAAAGCATATGAAAGTCAACAGAGTACTCACCCAGGGAGAAAACTTCATGACTGTGGAAAAGCTGTCTGTTCAAAAGCAGCCCTCACAATTCATCAAGGATTTCGCACAAGAAAAAAATGTTACAAATGTAGCACATGTGGGATGGCCTTTTGTAAGAAGTTAACCCTCCGGAGGCACAGAGTAAGTCATATAGGAAGGAAGCTTTATGAATGTAGTGAATGTGGAAAAGGTTTTCACCAGAAGTCAGTGCTCACTTTTCATCAGAGAATTCATGCAGGGGAATTATGTTATAAATTTAATGAGTATGGAAAAGCCTGTTACCCAAAGTTACGCCCTGGGACACGTAAGAGGACCCATGCAGATGAGAAAATATATACATGTGAAGAATGTGGGAAAGGTTTTTTCCCTGAGTCAGCTCTGGTTGTACATCAGAGAACTCACAAAGAAGAAAAACCTTATGAGTGTGAAGATTGTGGGAAAATCTTTGATCTCCCATCAGTCCTTGCCATACATCAGAGAACTCACACTGGGGAAAAGCCTTTCAAATGTAGTGAGTGTGGAAGACTTTTTAGTAGGAAAGGTGACCTCAGAATTCATGAGAGGACTCACACAGGAGAAAAAGCTTATGAATGTAAAGCTTGTGGGAGACCTTTTTACCGGAAATCACACCTCATCGAACATCACAGAAGTCACACAGGGGAAAAACCCTACCAATGTAATGCATGTGGGAAAGCTTTTATTCGAAAGTCACATCTGAAAAGGCATCAGACAACTCAAACAGGAAAACCTTATGAATGTGATAAATGTGGAGAAACCTTTTGTCAAAAGTCACATTTTAAGACACATCAGAAAGTTCACACATCCAAGTATATTCATGAATGTGAAGAATGTGGGCAGCCCTATTCCAAGAGGTCACACCTCAAGAGGCATCAGGCTATTCACAGAAGAAAAGCTAAGAACAAAGCGAATAATGGAAACCTTCTGTTAATGTATAGTGAGCTGCAAGAAACTGCAGCAAAATCACACGAATGAGATGCTCTGCAAAGAAAGTGGGTAGACTTCCCAGTTGTCACAACTGTAGCAGGCACGAGGGAACTTTGCAAAGACCCTCTTGCATGGTGGAGCCTGGCGAAGTGTTCTTCATATTCTTTTGTTTTGCCATCCTTCTTTTACTGTGGCTGATGACATTTAAATGAACTGTGCTTTCACAGGTGAATTTTGGGGACAAGTAAACATCCAGTCCATAGTATTAACTTGTTTGAAACACTGTCATTTGCTAAGTTGCTATTTGGCGTGACTGTGTCCATTCCTTCCCACACACAGCTTTAATACAAATGAGCTATCTGATCACAGTTACATTCCACATCATGTGCCAGTTTTAATGCTGTACATCCAATCTTTTGTGTTCCGTTCCAGAGGAGGAGTGAGTCTGTGGTAAGCCCTGAGTATGCCTGCACTGGCAGGAGTCGCTGTGGATGAGGTAAAGAGTGGAGCCAGCAGAGTGTTCTGAGAGCCTGAATAGCAGTAGTTGTGTGGCTGATACTGTGCTTGTGTTTCTGTGTTCCTCGCTTACACTCTGTGGAGGTGGATTAATCCTGCTTAGAGTGCTGACTTGACTGAGTTCATGTGACCTGGATGGTTTCACTAAACTGTTTGCAAACCGTAAATATATAATTAAAAATATTTTATGTGGTGTGGGATGTCTTATCCTTTCTTAATTTAGTCCTTAATTTAGGTTTTGTTGACTGGATTTGCATTCAGTTTTAATTCTCACCAAGGTGACCTGGCCATTTCTAGGTAAGGCAGTGGCAAATGCTATAGTTGTGCCTGCTAATGGTCCACCATCTCTCTGTTATCTACTGCCTACTGGGTACAGCTCCACTGACCATGACCTGCAGATTCCAAATTTCCAAATATGTGTATTTTTATGGAAAAACGGCCAAAAAAAAAGTGCAGTCATTCCAGACAAGAACTTAATGTAAGTAGGGAAACACCTTTTTAGGGAGTGAGAGCGAAGTCTATCAATGAATGTGTCACTTTGATGGTAGTAAGTCAGTTTTTTTTTTTAAAGATTTATTTTTTTATTGGAAAGGTGAATATACAGAAAGGAGAGACAGAGAGGAAGATCTTCCGTCCGATGATTCACTCCCCAAGTGAGCACGACGGCCGATACTATGCCAATCCGAAGCCAGGAGCCTCTTCCGGGTCTCCCACGCGGGTGCAGGGTCCCAAAGCCTTGGGCCATCCTGGACTGCTTTCCCAGGCCACAGGCAGGGAGCTGAATGGGAAGCGGGTGTGCAAGGCGAGGACCTTAACCACTGCGCCATCGTGCCGGGCCCAGTAAGTTTTAAATATCTACTTCATAACTCGGTTTTATCATATGCAAAGTTAAAATTAATCAAAGGAGTAGACAAACCCACTATTAGTGGGAGTCCCTTAAAGCAAGTCAGTAACAAATTGAGAGGACTCGAGTATTTCCTGCAAGTAAAATATTCAACTTCAGAATGGACACTGTTGCCATATTGACTCCTAGGAGTGCCATTTCTTGGTGCACTTCATAAGCCAAACTTCAGCAGACACCAGTATTGACAAAAGGATGGCTCAGCAGCCAGTAATATTGCTCTGAACTGCCTCTTCTTTGGGCTCAGTGAAGAGGTTTATATAGTGACAGAAGGTGGAAATTTGGCTTTACATAATGGCCTTGCTATATAAGTGTGAAACTTTTTAGAGCTTTATTTATTTAAAGTCATAGTTAGAGGAAGACATACAGAGGTATCTTCTGTCCATTGGTTCACTCCCCTGATGGCCACAACAGCAGGTGCTGGACCGGGCTGAAACCAGGGGCTTTCTCTGGGTTTTCTGCATGGGACCCAAATACTTGAACCATCTTCCACTGCTTTTCCCAGGCCACTAACATGGAGCTGGTTAAGAAGAGCAGCCAGAACATGAAATTGCTACCCATGTGGGATGATTGCTTCATAGATGGCAGCTCAGAAAGTGAAACTCCTACATCCCACATGGAGGCAAGAACCCAGTTACTTGAGCCAACTCCTCTGTTCCCAGGATTCTGCGTCAAAAAGGAGATGCAGTCAGGAATTGACCAGGGAGTCATATGCCTTAGCTTGTAACTTCCCAAGTTTCTGAACGTTTATGATTTGAAAGGCAGAAAAACGGCTCCTCGCATGGTTTAACAAATGTCCACAACACTTGATGATTGTCCAGGTCAACCCAGGAAACTGGGTTGCTAGGGACTGAAGTACCTGAGCCGTTAACAGCTGGACTGTCCCTGCCTGAGTGGGCTGGATTGCAGCACTTTGTTGTGGGATGCAAAGTAAGCATTGTGCTAGACATTTCTAGCACATTTCTAGTTCATGTCCACATGAACTTTATGAAATAGCCACATTTAATGTATATTCTACATTTGCAACAAATTTCATTTTACTTTTTTTTTATACTCTTAGTTACTTAGGGTACAAAGGGTCAAAGGCTACAGGAAAGTGGATAATACCATTGTTTTCACACTAATATTCTTTTTTTTCCCTGTATCTGGCATCAGGGGAGAAATACAGGGAAAAGCCCCACCCAGCCTCCCTTCCATCCCAGGTCCCCAATGTGAGGTGCACTCAAGTAGTTTTGATAGTTCAGAAGTTCTGAATTACTGCCAATCTCGCAGTTCCAAGCATGATGAAATCTCTTCAGAATCTACTGGCTGGCATAGTCCCTTCATGGTTGGAAACTTGCTTTTAAGTATTATTTATCCAAGCAACAAAAATACCAAGAACCAAATATGTCAGAGGTATAATGTTAGCTATTTTTAACCTACTCCTATTGGAGTGAGCAGGTAAGAGTAATTTGTGTTGCTTAGACAAACTTAATACCTAGAGTGTTCTTTTAAGCTTAATAGAAGAGTAATGACTTGGAATAAAACCAGAATGGAATGGAGACAAGGTCTCATCAGTTTTAGCTTCTCTAGACATTTTGCATTGGGACAAAGTTGCTCCCACTACAGGAGTCTATTTTGCACTCGGTTTTCTCACATATGCATATTAAAGTAAATTACTGAAGGGGTGAAAATAGCGAAATCACCTGTGATCACAGTGAATGGCAACTGCATCCTCTGGTGACATCAGCAGTTCTGTGAAAGGAACAGCTGCTCTTCTGATACCTGCGGAGGGGACATCACCCACTTGAGGGAACCTTCTCTAATACAGCAGCCACTTATTCCCACAAATCTGCCTCCACTAGTGACCTGAGTTCTGCCAGGTCCTCAACTTCTGGCCAATGCCCAGTGGACCTAAGCATGCACTGAGGCCCCTGGCCCCTGAGATATCCCATGTTTGGTCTCCTACATTGTATCAAGGCCCAGGTCAAAGCCCCCTTCTCCAAATTGGCCCCCTAACTTGCTTTGGAAACAACATGAGTCCCCTTGGGAACTGACACCCACATGGTAGGCAGGGACTGCCAGATCTCCAGGAATCTACTAAACCCACAGGGCTCCTGGCAGTGCTGAGAGGGGCCACAGCATCCATTCTCAGAAGCTTCATTTGCAGATGACATGGCTATGCAACTCCATACCAATCTAGTCCAAGGGAACTCTGTACATCTTCCCATGGCGCTGCTCACTGGGTGCTTGGGACATGGAAGTCACAGGTTAGGGTTAGGTCTATGGGTGATGGTCAGGGTGTAGGGTAGGATTAGGGGTCAAGGATTAGGGTTATGGTACCTTCAGTTCCACTCCTACATTGGTTACAATGATCAGGTTTGATATACAGTTTGTGCCAGGGAATTCAAGGAGAACTAGCGAGGCACCCAGTTCAAAGCACCATTGGTGTCAGATAATGATAGGGAGCACTACTTTGATTTAGGATAATTGGCTAACTAGAGCACAGTTGTTCACCATACACCTGAGAAGTACAAAGGCACATCCAAGGACTCACTGAAGGCAAGAGCACACTTGAGGAGAGACCCTCTGCCTCCTCTTTCCTGGAACTTCTTAACAGGGTCTCACAGACCTATGCTGTCCCAGCTATCCTGTTTTATGTATTGTGACAATGTGTTACTTTAGTTAGTGAAGATTTGCATGAAGCATTCCTACTGGCACATAGGACATGGAGGGAAAATCTAGGAGAATTGAAAAGGGAAATACACTGTATGGGTTTCAGCTTCTCAGGATTTCCCTCTTTAAACAGGGGTGCTACAGGTTTCCCCACTCCCATCCTAGGACCCCCACGTATCTCATATTTTCTTCCCTACAGGTCAGAACCAGTGTTACTCCAACAGTGAGTTCAGCATTAAACAGGGGCATTGGCCACACACCCCCCATCACATGTAAACATTTGTCCTGTATTACATGTCTGCCTGGGAAGCTTGAAATGGAGTGTCAGCCCCCTAGGGAAAGCCTCTCTAGAGTGTCAACCTCCCAGACCTGCCACAGGGACCTGGTCCCTACCCAGCATGGCTTTGCTTCTGTGCTCCCCCTGAAGTCACATCCCTCCTTGCCCATTCTCCTATACATACCTGTCAAAACCCAGGGAAACCTTCACATAGCCCTTCTGCCAGACTCAGCCTCAGAGTGCTTTTCTCAGCAATCTCAGCCAGTGTGAGGCACTGGCCACCCACTCCTGTGTCCTAGTCATGGTGATATTTCATGACTTCAACCAGGTTGGGACACTCAGTCACTGCCCACCCAAGGAAACAGTTGAGGGTTCAGACATCCTTGTCGTGGGCATTTGCAGCAGGAAAAGTGGCAGCCAGATGCTACTGCCCTTTTGTTCACCAGGGGTTGCTTCATTCTCCTCCAGGGGCATCCTTGATGCCTCTTCCACCCACAATGCACCTGTGGATTGTCCAGCTACTGATGTCCCACCTGCCACAAGACATCTAAATGCTGATGTCTCCTCCATGGAGGTCCTCACCAGGAGTGGTACGGTAGCAGCATCCCTGGATCCCTCATTCCCCCAACCACCACCCCCACACCACAGAACAGCATAAGTTGCTCAGGGAAGAAACTGGGGAGGTGTGGGGTGCATAGTGGCCCAGCAGGTCAAGCTGCAACCTGCCAGGCTGCCACCCCGTGTGGGTGCTGAGTCTTTTCCCAGTTGCTTCACCTCCTGTCCAGCTCACTGCTGATACTGCTGGGAAAGCAGCACAGGATGGTCTAGGGCCTTGGCCCATGCACTCATGTGAGACCACAAGAGGCTGTTGTGGTCTTTTGGAAAGTGAACCAACAGATGAAGAAAGATTTCTCTCCCTATCTGTTACTCTGTGGTTCAAATCAATAAATTAAAAAGAAAAAAGGACACCAACTGTAGGCAACAGCCCAGGTTGCACTGTACCTAGGTAAGTGCTGGTGGGTATTCTGGGCTCAGTTAATGCCAACTTAAAAAAAAAAAAAAAGATTTATTTTTATTGGAAAGGCAGATTTACAGAGAAGGAGAGACAGAGAAAGATCTTCCATCAGCTGGTTAACTCCCCAAATGGCTACAATAGTCAGAACTGAGCCAACCGAAGCCAGGAACCGGGAGCATCTTTTAGGTCTCCCACAAAGGTGCAGGGTACCAAGGCCTTGGGACATTATCCACTGTTTTCCAGGCTGCAAGCAAGATGCTAGAAGGGAAGTGGAGCTGCCAGTTTAGAGGTTAGGTGTTAGGGGTAAAGGTCAGGGTTAGGGTTAGGGTCAGGGTCTTATTATTTTGAAGAAATAGCAAAAATAGGGCTTTCTCAATATTCACAGTGGAAATTGTGGAGAAGGGATATGACTAAGGAAAAATTGCAATCCTTAGAAGCATCGGGTCAACAACTCACTGGAGGGGAGCAATTGACTTATGATATGTTGGTTAGAGATGGAGAGTGGATTACTACAGAACAACAGATAGAGCTACCTCAACCTGCACTCACCCATCTATGAGACATAGCATGTGGGCATGGGAGAAAATCGAAACTGGTTCTGAATTTGCAAGCAGTTGTACAAAAGTCATCCAAGGAGCCAGAGAATGTTATGCTGATTTTGTAAGACGTTTGACAGTCTCCATAGAAAAACAAGTTGGGGAGAAGGTGCTAGGAAATTGTTATTAAAGCAACTGGTTTTTGATAATGCAAAAGAGGACTGTGCGACTGTTATTGGTCCTATAAAAGAAAGAGGATCTTCTGGGTTACCTGAAAGCCTGTGGCAACATAGGGACACTTAAACACCATGCCTACCTAGCAGCACTTGAAACTTTTGCCATTCAAAAGCAAATGAATGCTAAATGTTTTAATTGTGGCAAGTCAGGACAGCTTAGAAAAAATTGCTTCCTTCAACTCAAAAATACCATGCTAATACTTCTAATGGTCACTCCCCTAAGTGCCAGAGGCCGACACTGGAAAAAAAGAATGTAAATCTAAATCTGATCATGATGGCAGAAGCCTGTGGCCAGAAGACTCCTGGAAGGTCCAGCCCCAGATCCCAAATTCAGAGGGTTACAAAACAGGAATATCCTATTCAATTTGTGTCTGTGGAGAAGCTACAAACTTAAAACTGCGACTGTCTCAATGCCCCACCTGTGCTCGTCACCCTGCAAGTATAAATCCTGGAGGATGAAATTCTAATCAATTGTGGTGAGTGCATGTTATTCATATAGCACTTATTCCTATACAGCAGTGCTTAACTATATATGCTAATTTTTAAGTACAAGTTTTTATATTAAGTTAATCTTTATGTTCGCTATCTCATTAAGTCCTCATTGTTTAAAATTAACAAAAGTGATGTTCTTGCTTTAAGGAGTATGTGGGTGACAGCATTATATCATTATAAGGTGAATGTTTGCTGTTTTGTGTGCTAATGTACCCAGGTTGTAACTGCATGCCTTGTGAAATATTTTGTATTGCTGAGAAAATTGGAATACAGGCCTTCAGTTCAACAGCTAGATTTCAAAGTAATGACCACTTTCTCTCATGAGGTTTTGATTCTGTTGCCTGGACACCCACATTTTAAATATCTTTATAGAATGAGAAAAAAGAAAAAGTCAAGGAAGAAAGAACAATTTGGCAGAATTTGTTCTCTGGGCTTGTGAATTCTACCTTGGAAGGTCTATTGTTGTGATAAATGTTTGGTTAGCTGACTTTATCTGCATATCCATGGCAAATTTTGGGAACTTGCAATTCAAAGAAGATACTAGGCTTTTGTAAATCTTGAGGGGTTTTTGGGGAACATTTTCAAAAATGTAAAATTTTATCCTACATAATTCGGTATAGAATTGAACTCTAACACACTATTAGATTATTTCAAGGTATAAGTTAAATTAATGTGATATTCGTTGTCTACAATGTGTTTCCATATATTAAAGTAATCCTTGTGTTTTCAGCCGGTTATCAAATTTCTCACTACCTTTAATTGGTCAAGGTTTTGTATTTGTTTTTAAGATATTTGAGTGATGATCTCACATCAATAACCAATTGTAATCTATAATGTGTTATGCTAACTTCAACAACAAAAATCTTGTTTCAGATATTTTTAGCTATCCTTGAATAAGCATCCAAGAATTCAAAGGTTTTGAATTCTGGGTTTCCCTTGGTGTTCTTATGAGGCCTCAAGAATGGCTGTGGGTCTATCTCCCACTTTGTGGAGACAGTTGACTGATGGGAGTATGTTAAGATTGTTGCCAAATGCCAAACAGAGTAAAATTTTGTCATGTTGTATACATCCATGGAGTTGTGAAGATTTAAACTTTAGTTTGCGTGCTTTTAATGATTTAGCTCTCTAGCTGTGATCTGGTTGTTCGTTACATATTCTTAGGGTAGTTATATCACTGGGAAGACTGAAATTCACATTTTCAGCTTGATGCAGGGATTGCATAGTGGTGATCAATGTTTTTCTCTCAGTGTCTTGGTTCGAGGTTTTTGACTTAATGGCTTTTCACTTACTGGTTTCTGGTGAACACTACTACGACTAAGCTTGGTTGAAAACAATCATTTTTAAGTCGCCAAAAGTATGTGCGTGTGTGCACGTGTGCGTGGGAGCACATGAGTATATTAACATTTGTCTTTTGCAAAAGTTGTTTAAAATTAATACAATTTAGTTTTAATTGTTAATCAATGCTCTTGTTTCTGAATTTACAGTGGACATTTTACTTTTGGGTAATGTTTTCTGAAACCGGTATTTGATATTTTTCATTGATAATTTTTTCTGATACTAAGCAACCTGGTGGCTCAGACTTGTTGAAGGTACACGCCCCACCTTAAAAAGCCAATTGTTTATAAAAATAATAATTAGTAAATAAAAAGGGTGGATGTCTTCCGGAGACACTTTATCTATAATATTTCTAATACTTGTAAAATTTGCCTTTTAAAATTTTCCTCAAAGAGACATCAATACTCCTGCTGATAAACATTTTTTATACTCTCTGATAAATTCTTGTGTATATAAAACAATAAAATGATTGATACTCTAGAACACTAATAACCCGTGGAAAAGGTTATGCTCTTGTCTCTAGAATTTCCTGATGGATCCTCAACACTGTGGGTTTCCCTATGGTTCATCCAGCCTCGGAATTGCAGCAATGCCATGGAATACAACGATGCCCCTGGAGAAGATGGAATCCCCAGGGGAGCTGCCGCTAACTACTGTAAAACCAGATTTGTTTTTATTTATTTATTTATTTATTTTTTATTGGAAAGGCGGATATACAGAGAGCAGATACAGAGAGGAAGATCTTCTGTCCAATGATTCACTCCCCAAGTGAGCCGCAACGGCCGATACTATGCCGATCCGAAGCCAGGAGCCTCTTCCAGGTCTCCCACGCGGGTGCAGGGTCCCAAAGCTTTGGGGCGTCCTCGACTGCTTTCCCGGGCCACAGGCAGGGAACTGGAAGGGAAGCGGGGCTGCCGGGATTAGAACCGGCGCCCATATGGGATCCCGGGCGTGCAAGGCGAGGACCTTTAACCACTTGCGCCACCGCGCCAGGCCCCAGATTTGTTTTTTAATGTTTTTGTTTCACTACAGGTCAGGAGTACAGAGAAATCTTCCACCTTCTTAGAGTGTTTGAGAAAGACTTTAAAGATTTATTTATTTTTATTGGAAAGGTGGATATATGCAGAGGAGGAGAGACAGAGAGGAAGATTTTCTGTCCAATGATTCACTCCCCAAGCAGCCGCAATGGCTGGAGCTGAGCCAATCCGAGGCCAGGAGCCAGGAGCTCTTCCTGGTCTCCCACACGGGTGCAGGGTCCCAAGGCTTTCGGCCATCCTCAACTGCTTTCCAAGGCCACAAGCAGGGAGCTGGATGGAAAGTGAGGCCGCCGGGATTAGAACAGGGGTCCATATGGGATCCTGGTGCATTTAAGGACTTTAACCACTATGCTTTTGTGCCAGGCCCAAGGAAGACTTTAAATATAATTTATTAAGACTGCAATAGGTGATTTATAGAGAACAGATTCTTAACTGCCTTAGACAGTAGAAAACCTATAGAAACATGCAGTGGGATCCAAGAGCAACCCTGACACCCCCTTAAAAGGAAGTTGTGTGTACAGAGCAGGAGGGGATCCCAGGGCGGAGCAGGAGGATAAAAAGGGGTCTGTATCCTAGTCCTGGAAACCCCCAGAGGCCTCCCAAGTGCTTTCACCACAAAAACAGTGGATACTTTATCATGGATTGTCAGTATGGACACCGAGAACCATATCCCGACTGCCAAGGAGACCACAGGGAATGTGAAGGCCCTCGGAGGCCGAGAACTCTGAGGTCAGTCATTTCCTATTGGATTTCCCACAGGGGATGGTAGCAGTCCAGAACCCTCGTCATAGAGTCTGGTGACATTGGAGCCCTGACTGGTTCTCAGAGATAAAAGGATTGTAAATTTCCTTCTGGACTCAGGGGAGGTGCTTTCTCTGGTTCTTACCTGGTTCCAGCTTTGGCTCCCAGTCCTCTCTTACACCACCATCAGGGTTGTTCTGGAGCCCCAAAATTAGTTCAGACAGAGACTAATAAAGGTCAGCTTGTTGATAATCACTCAGCCTGTACCAACCCAAAGCTTTGGGACCCTGCACACATGTGGGAGACCCAGAAGAAGTTCCTGGCTCCTGGCTCTGGATCGGCTCAGCACTGGCCATTGCAGTCACTTGGGGAGTGAATCATTGGATGGAAGATCTTCCTCTCTGTCTCTCCTCCCCTCTATATCTGACTTTGTGATAAAAATAAATAAATCTTCAAAAAAAAAAAAGAATTATAAAACTATTTTGATTATCCCAAAATGCATGAAGTTCTGTTGTGGAGTGCAGCCAGTGAAAGCACCCAGTGACAGTGGGCAAATGACATGTGGCTGCGTCCCTGCCCTCTGTCTTGAAGGTGGGTCCTAATAGTGATGGAATGTTAATTTCACCCTCAGCTACTCCCCCCCACCACCACTTAGGAATTCACTCCTGCCCACCTGTGACTCACCTAGCAACTCAGATGGGAGAGTATTGCATTGTTGTGTAGCCACTCCCCTCACAATCCCCTTTAAAAGGCCCATGAAGCAGGGGCTCGCTCTTTCTGGTCAGGTGCTTCTGTTACTCTGGCACCTCGATTCTTGGCTGACCCAGGACAGGTAATGCCCTGAGCATGGTCTCTGTGTACTGCTTAGATGGGACAATGGATATAGTAATGTTGTTTCTGTTTGTGTACTATCAGGAGTTCCAGGAGAGGTGAGGCATAGCAGTGGTGGAATGTGGGCAGAGAAGCCAGGGAAAGGATAATGTCTGCAGCTTTGTGAGTGTGTCCAGGTTCTTTGTAAGTGTGTCCAGGTTATTCATTGCATGTCTGTTAGGACAACTTGTATTGTTGGGGGAGCTGTGCCGTAGTTCTTCAGCTTAACGGATGGACTTCAGGATAATGACCATTTGTTCCCCTTTAGATTATGTTTGGTTGGACTATGATTGGTTGGATTGCCATAAGGACTTGTGATTTGCTACTTCTAGTATGCTGTATTATCACTAAGCTTGGTTAATAAGAATCCTTAATAAACCTTAAACATGTCTGGTGTGATCTCACTCACACCCTGTAACAGTTCTATAAAATCATGCTTGAATACTATAAACTGCAAAGTTTAAATTTTGGGTTAACAATCTCCCTGAAAAACTTTTACCAATTTAAAACTGCTAATACTAAACAAGATGTAACTGCATAGAAACTTTGATGTTAAGTTTACAATCAGCTGTTATATACGATGGATGTTAATGTTGAACCTTTCACTGTTCCTGTGCCACTCTGATTTAGGTTAAACTCAAAAACGTTACCTTGAGAGAAATTATAGCTGCTATTTTTCTTCTGCCAAGGACCCTTAGATGCATTCCCTAGAGAATACCTGGCTGCTGTGGCCCCCTCTCTTTGCCCCTTTCTCAGCTTGAAGTACCCAGAGTGACCACCGGCCAAGCATCCCTGACATGCAACCAGGGTCCATTTTCTGGGAAAAGAGGATGTTGAGGAGTTAGACGAAATGATAGGCAGTTGGGGTATGTGGTCCCTGGTGAAGTTATTTTTGTATAACATATAGTATTGCTTCTCCCCATTTTCAGCTCTTCCAATGACATATTCTCCCTAGCTACATCTTTCAGGCCTAATTTTACAAAACACAGAAGTTGAATTTGTAGGACATTCATAATCTTTGCTATTTGGGAGACAATAGCCTGTTGAATCTCCCCTGAATGCACCAGGATGAATTCATAAGGAGATGAGTGAGCAGGATCCAGCCTGGTTCACGGTTTTAGATAAAGAACCTGCTAGAGGAACTAGCTGTGTTTGGGGGAAAGGTACCTTGTTATTGAGATGTAAATGGCTCAAGCCCATCCTCCATGGAGACCTGCCTGACAACCTCCTTTAAAAGTCTGGTGCTGTTAATAAACAGCACCAGGCTCTGTGCACCAATCCATACTTGCAGGACAGCAAAAGCCTCCCATGCCATCTCCGGGCAGGGGCTCACGACAACCCCTTTCCCTTCTTCAGGGCATCCTAGGAAACACTTGGGGGCTTAGGCAACTCTGTCATGTGCATTTGAGGCAGGAATTTGGCTTCACAGCCCCCTGCCAGATGCTGCTGCCCTCTCGTTCACCAGGGAGTGCTTCACTGTCCTCCAGGGATCATCCTGGATGCAAGACTCTTTCTCCTGCAGGCCAGCCGTGGACCATCGGCCGCCACTGATGTGCCACTTGCCACACGATACCCCAACAGCTGATGTGTGTTCTCCACAGAGGTCCTTCTCACCAGGACAAGTAGAATAGCAACATACCTGGATCCCTCGCTTGTGCCCGCCACTCTCACAGCACGCAACGGCATAAGTTGTGCAAGCCAGGGGTACAGGCACCCTCACTGGTCTGGTGAAGGAGCTGCTGAAGAAACCGGCAAGGGGGGGAGCTGGGTGCTGTGGTGTGGTTGTGTGTGGTGCAGGGTGGTGTCCCAGTGGGTCAAGCCTCAGCCTGCCAGGTGGATGGCCTGTATGGGTGCTGCTTCAAATCCTGGCTGCTTCATCTGCAGTCCAGCTCCCTGCTGATCCTCCTGGGAAAGCAGCGGAGGATGGTGCAGGGGCTTGTGCCCCTGTGCCCCTGTGCCCCTGTGCTCCTGTGGGAGATCTGGAGGAAGCTCCTGGTTCCCAGGCTTGTCCTGGCCCAGCCACAGCTGGCTCTGGTGGTGGTGCTTGGGGAAGTGAGCCAGCAGATACAAGAAAGATTGTTGTCTCTCCCTCTCTGGCAATTTTTAAATTATATTTTGGCAATATTTTTATTATATTTTGGCAATCTTTACAGTGTTGATTAGTGTCAAAATGACAAGGGCTAAAGGGAATATTGAGGAGACACCCCACCCAGGCTCCCATCCACCCCAGGTCCCGATTGTAGGGCATGCTCGGATGCTTCATGAAGTCCACATAGAAATGATTCTACCAGGCCCGGCGCGGTGGTGTAGTGGTTAAGGTCCTCGCCTTGAATGCCCGGGATCCCTTATGGGCGTCAGTTCTATCTCCGCAGCCCCGCTTCCCATCCAGCTCCCTGCCTGTAGCCCAGAAAAGCAGTCGATTACGGCCCAAAGCTTTGGGACCCTGCACCCGCGTGGGAGACCCGGAAGAGGCTCCTGGCTTTGGATTGGCATAGTATCAGCTGTTGCACTCACTTGGGGAGTGAATCATTGGACGGAAGATCTTCCTCTCTGTCTCTCCTCTTTGTATATCTGCCTTTCCAATAAAAAAAATAATAAAAATAAATCTTCAAAAAAAAAAAGAAAGAAAGAAAGAAATGATTCTACCACGAATCATTGGGTGATTGAGGCACTCAGTGTTCGGTGATTGACTATTCGATTGACACTGCTTGATGGAGGCACTCTGTTCTGGGGTGATGGACTCAGTTTGGTGATTGACTATTCAATCAGCACTGCTTAATGGAATCCACGTAGAAATGATTATACCGTGAATCATTCTCAGTCAAGACCACGTTTCTCAGACTCTGCCAGAATAGACCTTCCGCCCGGGGGTTGTCAGGCCAGCGCATGATCGAACTCCTGCAGAGGCGCCGCCGCAGCCTCAGGTACTGCGAGTGCTGTAGCACCGGCTCCAGCAGGATAAAGATAATCACGTCCATGTTTTCATCCATTAGCCTCTGCAGCGCCAGGTAGAAGGCAGTCTTGAAATTCCAGCTTTTTGCATAATTTTTGGTTAAAATAAATATTGTTTTCTTGCTCTGGTGGATGCTCTGCATGAGGTTGTCGATGATGGCAAGCCCTGGGTCCCAGTCCCTCTCCTCCAGGCAGAGCAGGACATGGCTGTCCTCACTCTCCTCCAGGTGGGGGCGCAGCTCGTGCATCACCCAGTCCGTCACAGACGCGTCTTGGGTGTCATAAGAAATATAAGCGTCGTAGAAAGTTCTGGAAGCAGCACGTGACCTGTGACCTTTCACCTTGGCCAGACACACGTGGTACATGAACCAGGCATCCCAGGAGAACAGATGGTGAGCCATGGCGACCAGCAGGACCAGAGAGGTGAGGAAAAAGGTGAAGAAAAACAGGATGGCTGCGACAGCGTCCGACACGCAAGTCTCGAGTTGGAGGCTCACCACGCTCTTCCCTCTCTGATCGCCGGGACTGGCGCACAACACATCTGTCAACCTGGGGATTGTGACATGCAGATGTTCGTCCATCCAGATGCGGAAGTCACTCATGTCACACGTGCAATCGAAAGGGTTCCCGCCCAGCTCCAGATGCTTCAAGTTGGTCTGAGGCGGAAGCGTGGATGTGTGGATTCTCCTGAGCTGGTTGGATCTTAGATCGAGGTGCTCCAAACTACTGGATTCGGACAGGAAGCCGGAAGGGAGAAATCGCAGCTTGTTCCGGCTCAGCAGGAGCCACTTCAGCGAAGACGCGTGTTGGGAGAGACTATGAGTCACAAAGGATAGATGATTGCCACTTAGATCAAGCAGCTGCAGATGAGGAAAGTGTTGTAGCAACGTCCAGTTGAAGAAACTCAGCATGTTATCATTTATATACAATTCATTCAGACTCTGCGGAAGATTGCTGAAGGCCTCACCCGGAATATGTTGCAGTTTATTGAAGGATAAATCGAGCCGAGTTAGATTTTGCAGACAATAAAAAAGGCACCAATATCTGTGGTCGCCATTATTCCACAGCAGGTCGAGGCGGTTGTTGCTAAAAACTAACTCGTTCAATGACACGCTGTTCAGTTGATATTCTGTTAAAGTATAAATGTCATTGTGGCTCAGATTTAAGACTCTGAGCTGCGTTAAATTCTTAATAAATCCCAGACGGTGCGTGACACCCGCAATTCTAAAATAATGCGCGTTGGAACTCAGATCCAGAACTTCCAACTCGGAAAGTTCACTCAGAGCCTTGTTGTCGTCGAAATCTAATCGATTATTGGTCAAATCCAGATACTTAAGACGAGGCAGAGCAGAAAATTCTTTCCCGTGCAGCACTTGGCCGTTGCCGTTCGATGACAGGTTTAGGCACGCGATGTCTTGGAAACCTTCGAATTGCTTTTCTCCAATAAAGAAAATGCTATTTAAGCTCAAATCCAGCGCTTTGCCGTACGCGGTGCACTGCGGCTTGATCAGAGGACGGGTGTAGTGATAAAAATTGGAATGCGGGTCAAACTTTGGCTCAGTGGAGCGTGTTCGCAGCACGTGACCAGGCCGAGAGGAATTTTCTAGAAGGTTTTGTCCATTTTTTTGTTCCGTCTCGTTGACCAGAGGCGAGATTCTGTTTTCCGACAAGTAGATGGTTTTCAGGCTGGGGAAGTTCTGGAAAAGGCTAAAATCGATCTGTTTAATGAAGTTGATGCCCAAGTTAATGGTGTTTAAATGTGGCAGGTTCATCAGCGGCTGGAAATGTTCTTTTCTCAGTTCTTGGAACACGTAACCTCTTAAATGCAGTGTCCTGAGAGAGCGAAGCTCAGTAAAGGTTTTGGAAATATTAATATATTGCAAATAGCTTGTTTTTTGGTAGTTAAAAGACAAGTCAAGTGTCTCTAAATGGGGCAGTTTTGTTAAAAATTCCCCCGAGGCGATTTCTTGCACTAAATAGTTGAATTCCAGATCGAGCACTTTGAGAGAAGTCATATTTTCAAACCAGGAGGCCGGGACAGCGCGCAGGGACGTGCTGGACAGGTTGAGGTGCGTGAGCTGCCCCAGCGGTTGGAAAGCCAAAGGATCAATGTGGATGGATGCTTCTCCGTCGCAAGGCGTGCAGGGGAACGGCGCGTTGAAGCACCGGGGGCAGTTCCCGCTTAAATCCAATAATCGCAAATTTTCCAGCCCCTGGAAGTCGTCCCGGTTCACGTTTCTGATCTTGGTGTTGCTCAGGTAAAGCTTGGTCAGGGAGGCCGGCAGTGTAGACGGCACGCGGCCCAGGTTATTAAAGGACAGCGACAGCACCTGCAAATTTGTGAGCTCTTTAAACGTGCCATTTTCTATATTCAGTGATTTGTTGCAAACAAAATAGCAGTTCCAGCCCAGGTAGAGACTTTCCAGGTAGTGGAGTCCTGAAGTGTGACTTTTCCTCAGAGAAGTGATTTTATTTTGAATTAGACTGAGCTCCCGCAGAGAGTCGGGCAGTCCGGCGGGTATTTCATACAACTGGTTGTCTTCCAGCAGCAACTCGCTCAGGTTTTTGAGGCCCCAGAAGGCCCCGTCCGTGATATTCATGCCGTTTTGACTCACACTGGGATTTTCACCCTGGAGCTGCTGGTTAGCGTTGTGGTTAAGGTTGATTTTGGTGACGTTTTGCAGCTGCTGGAACGATTCGTTTGTGATCTGAGTGATGAGATTATCAGACAGGTCGATTTCTGTCACGTTTTTTCCCACCGTCCGAGGCACTTCCAGCAGGCGGCGGCTGTTGCACTCTGCGACCACAGAGTCATTTTCTGTTTTTTCGTCGCAAGGAAAGCTCCTGGAGTGGTTGGATTCAGAGGAGAATTCCCAGAAAGCGGTTAGCAGGACGAGGCAGGCCACAATCCGAGCAAGGGACATGTTTTCCTAAGAATAGAAGACAGAAATACAACATTACATCAGTGTTAAATCGTTTGATTTTTTGAAATGTGAATTTCGGTCCCAGCTCCCTAGCCTAGTGGCTAAAGTCCTCTTCTTGTACGTGCTGGCGCTCTATGGGGGGTGCTGGTTTGTGTCCCAGCTGCTCCACTTGCAAAACAGGACGGAAGATCTTCCTGTCTCTGTGTTTCCAACTCGGTAATTCTGACTTTCCAACAAAATAAATAAAATCTTAAAAAAAAAGAAATGCGAATTTTGTGAACAGTGGAATTCATGGCATCGAATTCCTTTCCTTTTTGTCATATTTATTTATTTGCAAGGAAAGGCAGAGTTACAGAGGGAGAGGGGAGGACAGAAGGGGAGAGAAGGAAAATCCATCAAATTACTTTCCTTTTTTGTCATATTTATTTATTTTGTCATATTTACTTTATTTATTTTGTCCTATTTCTTTATTTGCAAGGAAAGTCAGAGTCACAGAGTGAGAGGGAGAGACAGAGAGGGAAAGAGAAGGCATCCATCTGCTGGTTCGTTCCCCAAATGGCTATAACAGCCTGCGCTGCACCAACCCGAGGCCTGGAGCCAGGTGCTTGGTCTGGGTCTCCCACATGAGCACAGGGGGCCTAGAATTGGGCTGTTTTCCACTGTTCTAAGGTGCTGCTGCTACACGCTTAAATTCTAAAAGAAAGTCCTATTTGGAGGGGCCTGGTGTGGTAGCCTACTGGCTAAAGTCCTTGCCTTGAATGCACTGGGATCCTACATGGGCGCCGGTTCTAATCCCGGCAACCCCACTTCCCATCCAGTTCCCTGCCTGTGGCCTGGGAAGGCAGTCAAGAACAGCCCAAAGTCTTTGGGACCCTGTACCTGCGTGGGAGACCCTGAAGAGGCTCCTGGCTCCTGGCTTCAGATCAGCACAGTTCTGGCCATTGTAGTCACTTGGGGAGTAACCAGTGGATGGAAGATCTTCCTCTCTGTCTCTCCTCTCTGTAAATCTGCCTTTCCAATTTAAAACAAACAAAAACAGGACCACATTAAGGTTATGCCCATTAGTGACAGGAGGGGTCCTGATTTTTTTAATATTCATTTCTTTTTTCTAAATTATATTTTTGATATGATTTTTAAATTATATTTTTGATAATCTTCATATAATTAATTAGGGTAAAAAGGTTCAAGGGCTACAGGGAAGTGGGTAAGACTATTATTTCCATGTTGTTTCCTTCACAGATCTAAAGTAAAGGAGGATTTTAAGAGAGAAGCCCCACCCAAGTTCCCATCCACCCCAGGTCCTGATTTGATAAACAAAGTCCAGAGGAGCATGTCCACCCCAGGTCCTTCCTGTGTGGTTTGGCGGAGCTACAAAATGACACTGGACACCCCCAAAAGGCTCATGCGTTAGGGAGGTCAGCACCAATCTGCTTACGAGCCTATATTGGGAGGATTCCAATATTAATTTTAATATTGGAATTATTAATTAATATTAGTAGTCATTAATCATTAATATTAATTGATATTGTATTATAATATGTCATTAACAATTATATGCTAGGCCTGGCATGATGGCGCAATGGTTAAGGTCCTCGCCTTGCACGCCCTGGATCCCATATGGGCGCCAGTTCTAATCCTGGCATACCCACTTCCCATCCAGCTCCCTGCCTGTGGCTTGGGAAAGCAGTCCAGGACGGCCCAAGGCTTTGGGACCCTGCGCCCGTGTGGGAGACCTGGAAGAGGCTCCTGGCTTCGGATTCGCATAGTATTGGCCGTTGTGGTCACTTGGGGAGTGAATCATCGGACAGAAGATCTTCCTCTCTGTCTCTCCTCTCTGTATATCTGCCTTTCCAATAAAAACAAAATAAATCTTAAAAAAAAATTATATGCTATATAATTATATATTATATGTTAATTATATTAGTAATTATATTATGCTATAATAGAATATTAATGACCACACATAATATAATTATACATTGATCACATAGTATATATTAATCACATATTAATATTTCATATATTATAGTACAATATATTAAGAATTATAATATAATATCAATATTATATATGATTATGTGTTATGTATTATAAATTAATTATATCAATACTTATTACATAATATATTAATAATTGTAATGTAATGATATTAATTAATATCAATTATTTTTGATAATATGAATTCCAATGCTAATATTTGGAGGGTTCCCATACTAGGGGTAGGTTTTCCATCTTGCAACGCTGATCACAAAGGCCTAGCAGGTTCTGTGTGGCACCACCAAGACTCCAGTGATGTCAGATGGACGCTCCCACACACTTCACCACAGCCAACTAAAAACCCAACCCTCTGTTCGCTCCCGCAGCGCGGACACTAAAACTGGAACGATGCAGAGAAGCCTGTGCAAGGACGACACGCCAATGAGGGAAGCGTCCCGTATTTTTATAATGGACTCTTTGCTTGGTACACATTTGCAATGAAACAATCTTGACTGGGTTTGAACTATAATACTGCAACAAGGTGGAGGAATCCAGCATGGGGCGAGGGCACGAGGAGGGGTGGGGGGGAATCCCAGAGCCTATGAAACTGTGTCACATAATGCAATGTAACTAATAATAATTTTTAAAAACCCTCAAAACAACAATAACAACAAAAACTCTAAAAAAAAAACACTCAACCCCCCCCAAAAAAACCCTAAAAAAAACTAAGAAAAAAACAACAAAAACTCTTAAAAAAAAAACCCAGCAAAAAACTAAAAAAACTCAAAAAAACCCAGCAAAAAAAACCTAAAAAAGTCAAAAGAACAACAAAAACTCTAAAAAACTCAAACAAAACAAAAAACTCTAAAAAAAAAAAACAGCAAAAAACCTCTTAAAAAAAACCCTCAAAAAAAAACCCAACAACAACAACTAAAAAATACCTATCACAACCTGTATTTGCTAATACTGATGCAGCACAAATAACACACTCCAATGTGTTGCTACATTGCTTTTTTGCTCTGGCTTCATACCAGAAACTTCAAAAATTAAAATTTTAAAATACATGCTCGTAGGATTTCGATTTGGTTGGTCTGTGCTCAGCATGAACTCTGCAAAAGCTCTTGCTGGGATTAGAACCAGAGCCAAGAACCTTGACCTCCATCTGCATCAAGCTGATCCTTTTTCCAAAGTTTAATTTGGTCCTATTATTATTCTGTCTCATACTTTCATTTTGTAAAGCATCATCACATTTTAGTGCCGAATTAATTGACCTGCAAGATCCACAATGGAGAACAAGAGAATGTAAAAAAAAAAAAAAAACATGAATTAAAAACTGAAATATGCATAAAATGATGGAGAATGATTCTAAGGACTAAAAGAAGCAACAGATGAGCCTGGGGGGAAAATATAGAAGATAGAGAATATAGGGGAAAATACAACAGGGATTTTAGATAAGATTCTCTTGGAAAATACAAGAAATTGAAATGGGGAAAATAAAAGAGGAATTTTAGATAATTAATTCCTGGAAAATACAAGAAATTGAAATAATTCTTGAAATAAGGCTGAGGGGGAAAATACAGAAAATACAACAGGAATTATAGATAGGGTTCTCTTGGAAAATGAGGGAAAATAAAAGAGGATTTTTAGATAATTCATTCCTGGAAAATACCAGGAATTGAAATAAGGCTATGTACTTGCTCTTCCATCTCCTTGAGTTTTCTAGAGAATATGTCGTTTAAAAGAAATGTTTTTTTTTCAGTCAGACAGTTGTTGACATGCACAGAAATGCAATTCCTACCGTGTGTACCTATTGTACAATATTAATTATAAACATAGAAGCGCATGACTTAATTTCATGAAGTCCTGGCTGCTGCTCTTTGTGAGGGAAAATGCAGCATTTTCTGCAGAAACAGCAAGATGAAAACCATCCCCTTTCCCCCTCCCCGAACTGAGGTTGTTCTAGAAAATTTCATCGTCTGCAAGAAAGCCCACAGTCCCATTACGTTGCTAGCTTGCAATTTTGTTGTTCTGCAGTTGCAGTAAACAAGGTTGTCTCTGCGATGGATTGACAAAAAAATGTGCTAATAATGACTTTATAGCAATGCAATTGATTTACAGAAATGTGCTAATAATGACTTTATATTTATAGCAACGCACAGGCAGATCGGAGAGCAAGCCGAGTCCACTTCTCTGTTTGCAGACTTACCTCTGAGATATTTCTCTGCCCGTTGATGACCTTCTTCAGATCCCAAGCCAGAATTCATGGGGTCAAAAAAAAAAAAAAAGAAAACAAACAAACAAACAAAAAGGCACGCTTTTTTCCTTGCAAAAAGCTGAGTGGCGACTTAGCACTTGTTTGTTGAGCGACTAACTGTTCATTGCTTGGAGCAGCAGAGAAGAACATGCACACTCCTCCTCTGTGCAGATGCTCTGGAGGAAAAGGAACTGCTCAACTTCCTGAAAATGGGCCATTTTAGCCCTTGGGGGAGGGAGTGGGCTGTGGCTTTGCAGAAGTTGAGGGTGGGAAGAAGGGAAGTTGTGATTGCTTCACTGTTGCCACATCATGGCTGACGGCAGCTTAAAATTTTAAAACTGAAATGCGAGAGGGAAAAAAGGACACACATGAAGTGATTTGAATAGGAGCAAGCTGCATGAACTGATTAAATAGGAGCAAGCTGCATGGAGTGATTAAATAGGAGCAAGCTGCATGGAGTGATTAAATAGGAGGAAGCTGCATGGAGTGATTAAATGGGAGCAAGCTGCATGGAGAGATTAAATAGGAACAAGCTGCGTGGAGTGATTTAAATAGGAGCAAGCTGCTTATATACCAGAAAATTTAATTTTCCTAAATGGATTCGACACAGAGTGAATTAAATACCAAATTCTCAGAGCCTCCAAAGGTTCAACCAGGGATTGGCAAATTTTAAAGGCGAATGCCAACTTTCCCAGGCGAGCCCAAAATTCTCCCTGACCAGGAGCTGGCAAACACGTCCTTCTGACAGGCTCCCAGTCTCTTGGTTTTTCCTTAAAAACCTTTTCCTTAGAAATAAAATGAAGTAAAGTAGAAACTCTATTGTCCAGCAGCGGACCTGGCCGTCTTCTTGGAGAACTGGAGGGTTTTTTGTCAACTTTTCTGCAAAAGTCAGATTCCTGTGTTCTTCGATTCGAGGCCACAAAGTATGGACAGTCTTTCAAAGCCTATTTTATATATTTACATATTTATATTCATATATTACAAGTCAAGGCAGCCTATTTTATATATGTATGTATTTATATTTATATATTTCAAGGCCAGAAAGTATCAACCAATCATGGACAGTCTTCCAAAGCCCATTTTACATATTTATATATTTATATGTCCGTATTATCAGGGTTAGCATAGTATATTTATATATTCATACTTATATATTTATATGTATATATTATAAGGGCTAGCATTCTACATTTATACATTTATATGTATATATTATAAGGGTTAGCATTCTATATTTATATGTCTATATTATCAGGGTTAGCTGGTGTCTATGCTGGGAAAACGCATGAAAAGGAGCAACTTCATGCTGCAAAGGAGCCGGAAAGTAAAAAAATTGGCGGAAGGACCGACAGGTCACTGCGCAGGCAAGGTTTCATCCCATGTGGAAAGTGACCGGATGATTCCACCTTCTAGAACTTTCTAGCTTGGGGATCTTCTAGAACTTTCTAGCTTGGGGGAAATGAGCCTCAGTTTCCTCATCTCTCACACAATTCCTTCTTAAGTCAAGAATTTACAGCTTGTGCAAATTAATAAAATCATTTTCTTGGATTTTTGTAATCATGTTGTTGTATAAATAAAGTTCCTTCAAATTGGGCGGTAAATCCGCAGGGACAGAAGTAACGCTGTCGTCTTTCAAGGAAAGCACTCAGTCGTTGCAGCTTCCAGAAGGCTCCCGTTGCTATGGAGAAGGACACATTGCATGGGTTCCGGTAGTAGCAGTTCTGGCCCAGGTACAGGAGTTCGAGGCCCACCAGGTCGGTCACATGGTCCCTCATGATGGAGACGATGTGGTTGGCCTCGAGGCTCAGGACTTTTAAATTGGAGGGAAGATCCCGAGGGATGTGCAAAAGTTGATTTCCATCCAGATAAAGGGAGCATAAGCAACGCAGGCTGGTAAAGCTTTGGCGTTGGACCCGCAGCCTCTCGGTGCACACGTTGTTTTTCGCCCCCATCGCACAGGGACGCAGTTGCACCAGAAGTCGAGCTCCAGCAGGCGGTCCAGCCTCCAGAAGAATGCCGGGGAGAGGCTCCCGGATGCGGTTCACGCTGAGTGTGAGGTTGATGGTGTTGGTGGGGGCGCCGCCGGGAATTCGCACCAGACCCCTGTCCCTGCTGTCCATGAGCCCTGGACATCACAAGGCAGGGTCTTAGGGAACCACGTGGCCCCGAGGATTGTGGGAGTCAGGGTCACGTGAAGAAGGAGCAGGAGGCGAGTCTGGGCTGCGTGTGTTGGAAACACCTGGGAAGAGAAGAAATAAGAATTTAGAAATTATTCTGAAAATAGAAGAAATAATAATTGAGAAATTATTAGGCCTGAAAATAGAATAATTGCATAATTGCATTTGTGAGTTACACAGATTTGCAATTATTGCTTTTTGTGTGTGAATTTAACTTTCCCACAGACTTTTATAGTAAAATTTTTTTATTAATTACATTGCATCATGTGACACAGATTTATAGTTTTTTTTTATTAATGACATTGCATTATGTGGGTCTATATGGAATTTGCCACTTATGAAAAAAAAACTGCATGGATCTCAAAATATCCAGCAACAAAATACACTGTGAGGAAAAAAAATAAGCATCTAAATGCAACAAACTCGACCACTTATTTGTATTTTTTTAAAATTATTTAAAAAATTGGAAGCTGAAGAACAAATAATTTCTCTGAAACATAAATAATTTTTCCAAAATGTAAATAATTTCTCTATGTGTAAATAATTTCTCTAAAACACACCAAAAAATCAGAACCACAAAGTTTTCAAACTAAAAAAATAAACTGATGCAAGGCAGGCTTATGCGCATGAAAACATTGAATGTGATTTTCACATTGAACGTGGTTTGCATTTGGTTTGTTCATTCAGTATTTTACAAAAAAAACCAAATTATAGAGTGACAGAATATCACCCCCATGCCGTCACTCCCGATGCCATCCCTTGCCCTCCTACCTGCCTCTCCACTGTCTTTCCTATAGGGCCTGTAAGTGTGTGTGTGTCCATGAGGGGCCACAGACCTCCTCTTTCCACAACCTCGCCAATGTGGGTGTCCAGCGTGGCCTCCCATGCCATTTCTGGGCATGGGCTCATGAGGACCCCTTTCCCTTCTTCAGGGGCTCGTAGGAAACACTTGAGGGTTCAGGCATCTCTGACGGGTGCATTTGAGGCAGGAATTTGGCCCCGCAGCCTCCAGCCAGATGCTGCTGCCCTCTTGTTCACCAGTGAGTGCTTCACCTTCTTCCAGGGACATCCTGGACTCAAGACTCTCTCTCCTGCAGGCCAGCCGTGGACCATCGGCCACCACTGATGTGCCACCTGCCACAAGACACCCCAACAGCTGATGTGTGTTCTCCACAGAGGTCCTTCTCACCAGGACAGGTAGAGTAGCAACATACCTGGATCCCTCATTTGTGCCTGCCACTCTCACAGCATGCAACGGCATAAGTTGTGCAAGCCAGGGGGACAGGCACCCTCACTGGTCTGGTGAAGGAGCTGCTGAAGAAACCAGCAAGGGGTGGAGTTGGGCGCTGTAGTGTGGGGTGGGTTGGGGTGGCATGATTTGGGGTGGTGTCCCAGCTGGTCAAACCTCAGCCTGCCAGGTGGATCACTTGTATGGGTGCTGCATCAAATCCTTGCTGCTTCCCCTGCTATTCAGTTCCCTACTGCTCTTCCTGGGAGAGTAGCAGAGGATGGTGCAGGGGCTTGTGCCCCTGTGCTCTTGTGCTCTTGTGGGAGATCTGGAAGTAGCTCCTGGTTCCAAGGCTTGTCCTGGCCCAGCCACAGCTGGCTCTGGTGGTGGTGCCTGGGGAAGTGAGCCAGCAGATGCAAGAAAGATTGTTGTCTCTTCCTCTCTGTTCCTTTGTGCTTCAAAGCAAATAGGACAGAGGGAGGCTGGCAGGCAGGCAGGCAGTCAGGCAGTCAGGCAGGAAGAGACAGAAAGCTGCCGGGCTCCTGGGAGGGAGTGTGCTGTGTGCTGTGCTGTGCTGTGCTGTGCTGTGGCTCTAGACTGCTTTTTTCCGTGCGAATGCAGACCCCGAGGGTGTGCATAGGGCTTCTGTCATGGAACTCCTGCGCAACCTCTGTAAAGAGGGTCCTTGTGAGAGAATGCCTCTCTGGGCTGGGCCTGCTTCCCTTGATCTGGCAGGAGACTCTGGAGGAGTTTCCTGCAGTGAGTGTTATTTTCCAGGAGAGGCCGCGCAAAGCTCCCCTTTGTACCCCAGGTGGGCTCAGGCCTTCTGAGTGCTAGACAGCCCAGCACTGAGCCGTCCTAGCATCAGGTGGAGTTCCCGGTCTGTGTTCCTGGACACATGCTGTTGGACGATCAGGGGTCCAAAGCTGAACAGCCCGCACACCAAGGCCCAAGCCCAGGGATCGGGAGGAGGATGCTTGTGACCTTGTATCAGTCCGGGCCTCTGTGACAGGACGTGTCAGGTTGCCTTTAACATCAAGGTATGACATTAGGACACTGAAAGAACCCTGGGAGGTAGAGTCCCACACCAGCATCCCCACAGGCCCTCTGCAAGCTGGACTTAGCAGCTTCCCAATGGGCTGCTCAGAGGGCTTTGTGTATTTTTTTTCGTCTGCAGTGTGTCCTGGTGGCCACGAGATGGCGCTCGGGTCTGACTTTTCTGGCACTGGTCCACTTAGTCATCATTTCCCAGGTTGTTTTCATGTGTCCTGTGATTGACTCAGGCCTCATGGTTAACCTTCATGGCAGGTTCCTCTTTCTGACACCATATTGTGACCAGATAGTGATAACTGTGTGCAGGGCTCAGTCCTCAGTGGTCATGATTTTTAAAGACCATGAGAAAATCCCATAGCTAAAAGTGTATGAGTCTGATGGGTGTTGTGCAAACCCCATCCCAGAATGAGGGCATTGCTGTAGGCCCCTGTCCTCTGTAATTGGAGGTGGCTCAGGCTGAATGTGGGCACAAGGTGGCATGAGGGTTTACAGGGGTGCATTTGGGCTTGGTACGCCCAGTGGTGTTGCCACATCAGCATGAAGTCACTGCGTCTGCAGCGAACTCCAGAAGATCAAGTCCCCACCTTGGCTGACTCCCTTGTGCAAATCAATGAAGATCCGAGCAGCTGAGAAGTTAAGTTGTTAACTAGCAGTATTCCTGTTGGTTTCTGAGATCAGTGACCAAAGAGAGACAAATGAATTTCTACCTCCTGTTAGATATC